GGGGGGGACTATAACGTTCAATACACTGAACGCCTTGTTCAATCCTTTTTCATTTTTTTTGTTTTAAAATGTTATTTTATTAAAAGCATGCACCATGCTTATTTTTTATTTTATTTTATTTGTTTTAAAGTAAATATTTATTTAACTCTATTTCTTTTCTTTTTTTATATATTTTATTTATTTTTTATCTATATCACACTTTCCAGTACATATAAATTCAAATTTTATCTATATTACACTTCCCAATATGCATGAATAATTTACATTTTTATCCCAATTTTTTGCCTATAAATACACTTCAGTTTATCACTTCTTTTGCACCAAAAAATTTCTCACTTCTCATACACCAGAAAATTTAGAAACTATTCATTTTCCTAAAAAAATGGATCCGAATAACAGGAAAATTTTTCAAAATTTCTCAAGTTCTAATCCTAGCAATCCAGATGAAAATCCATTCTTCCAAAATTCACAAACTCCGCCAAATTTACCATTTTCACAAACTCCTTATCCTGCACAATTTTCCCACAATTCCCGTCAAATTTTCCTTTTATGCAACAACAATCCCAAAATTACAAATTCCACCAATATTCAATATTCACAATATCCTCCACAATTTCTACTTCAAAACCCGCCGCCTGAATATTGGCAATACATGAGTAGTCAAAATCTGGTGCAATCTTCTCCGCAACAATCGAGTCAATCTTCCGGATCCCAAGTGAGGAAAGAACCTGATACTCAAACTTACGTTCCAGAAACACAATTCCAGGATCGTGAAGCAACTATTAATGTTGAAATCCTAAAAAACACACGTGTTGCTGCTGAAGGTCGAAAAAACGTCCACAATGGGCAAAGGAAGTGAATGTGCAATTGGCAAAAGCTTATGTGACAATAAGTGACGATCCAATTACCGGTAATGATCAGAAGGCCGAAGCATTTTGGGTACGTGTTGCAAATTATTATAACAAAAATACACCTACTGACTATATTCTCAGAAATGCTAATATAATAAGATCTCACTGGCATAAAACGATTCAAAAAAAGGTGTATCGATTCAATGAGTGCTATAACAGTATTTAGAATGTTTATCGAAGTGGTTGTAGTGATGAGAATATATTAAGTCGGGCTTATGAAAAATATCGTATTGAGAATGATGGTGTAGCCTTCAATCTTGAGCATGTATGGAGAATCCTTAAAGATCGTCCTATGTATACCCCAGTGTTCTAATGTTATTTTTGTTGAGAGAAAAAAGACGAGAATTGATGATTCTGGTGCCGGCAATACTTCATCAAAGGGCGATGTAAGCATTGACTTAGATGAACTTCATGAAGTGGCTCGCCCCATCGAGCAGAAGGCAGCCAAACGAAAGGCCAAGGGCAAAGGCAAATCTAACCTTGATGAGATGGCCGCATAATACAACAACATGGTTAAACATCTTGCTGAGTTAACTAGCTTGAAAAAAAGCTGAAGTTGAAGTTAAAAAAGCTACTCTTGAGGAGAAGAAGTAGAGAAATCGTCGAAAAGACTATGATATTTTAATGAGGGACACAAGCCACATGACCGAAGAGCAACACATTTCTCATGAAAAAATGTGTCAAGCAATTCAAGAGAAATTGAACTTTTAGATGTTGTATTATCTGTTTTAATCATCCTTGTATTTCTGCATGTTGTGATTGGAGGTATTCAACTTTTAGCTTGTATTTCATTTAAGTTGTTCTTGTTCTTGTTAAATTGTTAGTCAGTCTTTCATTAAATTGTTCTTGTTCGAAATTAAATTTGTAGTATGTCTTTCCACTTAAATTGTTATTTGTATTTGAGTGATGTATTGTATGTTAAACAATATGACTAATCAACTTGCTGGTAAAAAATAAATATGTCAGAAGATAAGATATGACTATCAAAAGTTGATTGATTTGCTGGCACAAATAGGCATGTTAGAAGATAAGTCATGTGTTGTGGCACGTTTATCAATTTGATAACTCAATTAATGTGTCAGAAAATAAAGTATGGGTCATGAATGACAACTATATGCAATAGTTGTCTATAATAATCAATTTGCTGGGAAAAATAAATATGTCAGAATATAAGATATGACTATCAAAAGTTAATTAATTTGTTGGCACAAATAGGCATGTCAGAAGATAAAGCATGGGTTGTGACACGTTTATCAATTTGATAACTCAATTAATGTGTCAGAAAATGAAGTATGGGTCATGAATGACAGCTATATGCAATAGTTGTCTATAATAATCAATTTACTGGTCAAAATAAATATGTCAGAAGATAAGATATTGATATCAAAAGTTAATCGATTTGTTGGCGCAAAAAAAATAAATAAATAAAAAATAAAAAAAACATGTCAGAAGATAAGGCATGAGTTGTGACACGTTTATCAATTGGATGACTCAATTAATATGTCAGAAAATAAAGTATGGGTCATGAATGACAGCTATACTCCATAGTTGTCTATAATAATAAATTTGCTGGTCAAAA